GTGTGAGTGAGAGAGAGTGTGTGTGTGAGAGAGAGAGAGTGTGTGTGAGTGAGTGTGTGTGTGTGTGTGTGTGTGTGTGTGTATAAGTGAACACACTTTACTGAGGATATCCAGCGAAATCCACGTTTATTACCTTATATATATATATATATATATATTTTTTTACCTTTTAAAACTTTTTTTATTTATTAAGAACACAGCATACCTACAAATAAAAGGGTCTCCGTTAAAAGAAACAAATTAAATCAACAATAAATAAAGTATAAAATATTCAGAAAGAAAAAAAAGCGAGATTCATCAGTTTTTAGTAATATATATATATATACAAAAAAATTCCATCCTTAAATTAGAACATCATGAATCACGCGATACAAAAATATCACGTGACCGGCCACACTGGGCGGCGCTTACGCGGGCTGAGGATGCTGCGCTCTCATTGGCCGAGGGCGGTTTCCGCCGTGTTTAAATATCCAATCAGCGCGTAGCAGCTTCACTTGGGTGAAAGATCGCTAAGCAAGCTTCATTCCTCGCCATGGAGGACTCGCGCAGCTGACGGTTCCTGCAACCTTCTCTTCTCACGCTTTCCTTCGTACGCTCATCGATCCGTTATCAGCCGCGTCAGAGACGTGTCTCAGTCTGAGGATGAAGATCATCATCGGGCTCGGAGGGTGAGTGAGCGCGTGCTGCTCTCGTTCTGAACGAAATCACCATAGTAACTGCGTGTTTATTGCATCGTGAGCGTGTAGCGTGCAGTTAAAGGGACAGTTCACCCAAAAATGAAAATTCTGTCATGACCCTCCCTCAAGTTCTTCCGAACCCGTACGAGTTTATTTCTACAGCTGAGCACAAATTATGATATTTTAAAGGATGTTGCAAACTGAACCGGTGACGGTAGCCATTGACTTCCACTGTAACTTTCTCCATACTGTGGAAGTCGGTGGCTATGTTGAGAGAATTTAAATTTTTGGAACTGTCCCTTTAAAGTGCGGTGTTGTCTGGCATGTGTTGGCCTCTTAAGTAATACGACGCAGCATATAACACGTGTGTTTCCGTCCCACAGGGTCACGAACGGTGGCAAAACGACACTGACGGACCGGCTGATCAAGAGCCTGCCTAACTGCTGTGTGGTCCATCAGGATGACTTCTTCAAGGTCAGTATAATCCGAAAGCAGAGCGCGGCAGAGGTCAGAGGTTACGAGTGTAGCGGTGGGAGGGTCAGTGTTCTGGAGTGCGTCTCATTGGTGTATGTTTCAGCCCCAAGATGAGATCGAAGTTGATGAAGATGGCTTTAAGCAGTACGATGGTAAGCGGGGGTTGGTGCGTGTGTTTCTGCATGTCTGGCGATCCGCGCCGTGTCCTTGCGCTCACGTGTGCGTGTTCTCCTCCGCAGTCATCAGCGCTCTGGACATGGACGCCATGATGAGCACCATCCACGCCTGGCAGCACGACCCCGTCAAGTTCGAGCGATCCCACGGCGTCAACAACTCGCTGGACTCGGAGATGCTCCCGCGCGCTCCGGACGAAGGCGTTCACGTCCTGATCGTGGAGGGGTTTCTGCTCTACACCTACAGGTGAGCGCCGCGTGCAAACCTGTTCGACTGACCGATCAGACCCATGCTTTTACTGAACGCTGTGTCTCTTTTGCGCAGACCTTTGATCGATGTATTCCACCAGCGATACTTCATTGAAACGAACAGTCCGAAAGAATCAGTTCGTCATATTTCCCCGTTTGCCCGAGGCTCTGGATTACAGTAATAATGCTGTAAATAATGTTCAGCTTCTTGCACAGACTGATCGTTTCTCTTCAGAAGATCTCAGTATATCGTCAGGAGACACGGGGATTCATTTAATGTTCCCTGATATTGATGATTGGCTCTCAGAGTGACGGTAGCAAGTTTTATGATTCACAGAGGAGCACGGCTTCAGCTAAAAATCATCTTTACTGTCCTACTGAAGAGCAAAAGCCGCCTCCATGGCCTGAGGAAGAGTACATTAACAGCTAATGTTCATTTTTGGGTGAACTGTCCCTTTAAACCAAGCGTAATAGTTGCTCTCTATGGGTGCCGTGCAGTGATCAGCTGTTACTAGATCACTAGACTGACCACAACACAACTAGCTGCTTGATTACTATCTCATCAACTCATCTGAAATCATGGATTCATCCAGTGATCTATCCTTCGACTGAATTCAGTGTTTCAGAAACATAAAAACTCAGATATCAGTCTGAGTTGAAGGTTGGTTTCTGCCTCTGGACGCTCGAGTCATTATGAGTGTGTAAGCAGAATGTGCTGGTCATAAACCCCGAAATAGAGCGAAAACACCAACTCTGTTCTGACCCCAAACCCACTGACCACATTCACATTACGCTCTGTTTACCGCGGTACACACAGAAATATAATGTAAGTCACACAGTGGCCTTGTGTTCACTGCAGACGTGATTCATTAGATCGAGTGTCTGAAATTCACTTTTTTTTTACTTCACTTAAAGCCTTTATGAATCATGCATTATAAAGGTATTCATTATAATGCATGATATCTTTTCATGCCACAGTTAAAACGCATTATATTATTTGAAGGTTTGTCATGTTTTAATGCGTTATTCTTTCTAAAGGTGTAATAATGAATAGTGTTATGTGCTACGATTCATACAATGCATTACAAGGCACATTTAATGCATTAAAACTACTTTTATTATGCATTATATATAAAGTCTTACCTACATTTTTTTGTACTAATTTCTTTTTGTCATGAAAATGAGTGCACACAATAAACTTGGATAAAATAAAACTTTTATAATATTTATTAAACATGATGTTATAAGCTAAAGTGGAGAAATGAAGGCAAAACTTTTGCTTATAATAAATATAAAAAATGATGGCTTTAAATTATATTGTTGAGTGGCTAATGATTTTATCCTCAAAATAAAAAAAGAACAGACTGCTGTACTCCACTGCTGTATATATTGTTGTTTAACACGTTAAACATAGTTGTGATTTTGATGAACGTGACTGTGAGCTTTAACACGTGCGTGTCATTTGTATGTTCAGGACACTGAAGCTTCAGCGTGTGTGTGCCGTATTTCACACGCACCCGTCAGAGGTCACAGAGTTCAGACATGTAGGTCGTGTGTGTGTGTGTGTGTGTGTGTGTGAGAGAGTGTGTGTGTGTGTGTGTATGTGTGTGTGAGCTCTGTCTGTGACACACACTCAAAACAACACAAAAGTGTTACAATTGAACTCTACAGAGAGACTAGAAATAAAAGGCCTTACAGGATAGCAGGTATAGTTTAGGTCTAAGGCGAGACACTGCAGATTAAGCAGTGTGTTTCATGCGCTGGTCAGTTTAGAGGTTTTAGTCTATTTTGCTTCCGTAACACGCCTTCTTTCAGTCTAGTGGAAAGAAAACATCCAAAATAGACATTTAAGGGTTTGTTTTATTGCACTTTATGCATTAGCGTCTGCAGATTTCAATCTCAGTCCCTATCTTTAAAGAGTTTTTCTCTTACAAACACCAGACTTGACAGTTTTATTCCTCTCTATATTCTGAAGGCTCACTCATACATCATTCACACTGAGTTATACAACATTTTACTCCTAAAAACATGGTGAAAATGTGTTTTCTGTCTGTTGACAGTATTTTCTGATCTCTGATGAAAATAGAAATCCAAAATCCCTCTGGAAAAACCTTTAACTCTAAAATCAAACAAGAATTATGAATCTCATTTTCAGGTTTCTGTTCTAGAATATGTACACATAACATTTCAGGAAACGTACAAACACCTGTGAAGAATCGCTGGTGAAGTAGGGTGAGTGTTGTCGTACAGTATTTGTGGAGCATTAATCTGGTACGTTTGGTCTGTTCAATGGTGACCCGTTCAGATATGATGATGAAACAAGTAAACATCCGGAGGTTTTCCAGCACTGGTGTTTGTGCAGAATGAAGCGCGGCTGGAAGAGACAGTCTGACAAATAAACAGAGGTCTGGCATAACTCGTCTCCTCCTCCAGGTCTGGCTGTGGTTCAGGGTTAGCCAGCTCACTGCGGTTCACTCACACACACACACACACACACACTCACGGCATAAACAAGACAATAAATCCAGCCGTCTGCTGCAGAAACCTCATCAACACCATCACTTTCACGTCTGCAGCACACAACAATATCTGTCTGTCCATCTGTCTCTCTATCTGTCTGTCTTTCCATCCATCAGTCATTCTGACTGTCCATCCATCCATCAGTCTATCTGTCTGTCTGTCGTGCTCTTGAACTGTTAATAACACGGTTTGGTTTTCTGGTTTAATCAAATATTGCTTTAATGTTTCTGCTGTTGCCACATCAAACCCCACATTTCTACATGTACTTTACAGTGAAACCGCTGCATTTTTCAGCGCAGCACATGTGCATTCATTTCATTTGGACTCTCATATATCTAAATAAATGAAGACTGAGACAGACGAGCCGCAGGTGAGACGAGGTGATCAGAATCACAGCCTGCTGAAAAACACCACAGTACTATGCTTTTGGACATGTACTATGGTAAAAGTTGAGGTACCTCGGAACAGTGTTATTTTATTATCATTGAGATACTATAATTGTTTTATTAATATTTTAAAATATATATTTTATATTTTTATTTTAATTGTTGAGTGAGTTTTTTTTTATGTCTATACATATATATATATATATTTTTTTTTTTTCAGTTTTAGTTTTTATTTTATTTTAGTAGTTCAAGTTAAATGAGAAACTGCCTTAATTAAAAAAAAAATCAAGAAATGATGTTTATTTATTTATTTTTATGGTTATAGCTTTAGTTAGTTTTACTAATAACCCTGCCTCCTTGGAATAACAAGTAATAAGTAAAATATCATGATGCATGAATATAATAATCAGCATTATAAAGCGTTCAGACACTAGGCCATGAGTTTGATTCCCAGGTTATGCATGAGCCAATGAAATGTTTGCCTTCAATTAAATTAAAGTTGCATTGCTTAGAAGCATCTGCCAAATGCATGCATGCAAATGTGAATTCTGTACCACGATATTACCATCTAATACCATGTACATACATCCTCTTCTTCCTGGCCATGTCTAAATCGCCTCAAATATTCAGGTTTTGGCTCTGCTTTCTTGACGTAATGTCTAAAAAGTAGTTTGACCAATAGTGCGCAGGTGTGTGAGATCAATGCGATGCAAATATGCTCACATGTAATGTCTGAGAACTGTAGAAGCGAGCAGGTACGGTCAGCCTGGTTCTGTAGAGGTCAGAGGTCGTTACTGTAGTGACTGTGATGTTCTGGATGTAGTTCAGCAGCAGTTCGGTGTGTTTGAAGGCGTTCAGGCAGCAGATGTTTCTTCAGTCGAGCAGAAACAAGACTGAGTCTATATTTGGGTTTGGTGTCTAATACACAACCTCCACCCAGTTCCAGAGCAATTACCCCCCGCCCGTCACGCTAGCATGTGTGGACGGCTGCTGTTTACTCAGTCTCAGCTCCACATGTGCTCAGCGTCTGTGGCTCGGGATCCGTAGGTTTGTTTTTCTCCTTCAGGCCCAAACAGCTAAATCCAGACGCCAATCCAAACGCCCGCGCGTCACCCTCAAAACCGCCGGAAACCAGGCCTGTCTGTCTGTGTGCGAGCGCTACTGTCTCACACACACACACACACACACACTCTCACACACACACACACACACACACACATGTGCCGGTGCGCTTCATCAACCCACTCCAGCGGTACATGACACTTCTGGAACATCTCTGTTAATGCTTTCCTCACAGAAACACACACGGATGACACACAGGATCAATCCCATGATGCTCTGCTGCCTCCTAGAGTCCAGCGCTCACAGATGATTACACATGTGATCGTGTATCATCCTGGTGCTTTCACCAGAAAAACTCATAATAATAATAATTATTCCAATGAAAATGATAATAAAAATGTCATTTTTCTTGTGTAAATGTGGGAAAAGTTCACATATACAAGATTAAATTGTCAGCAAAAACATTGCAAATAAAATAAAAATACTTGCCATATTCTGAATGAATATAGAGTTTTGGATTAATGAATGGTTATTATGTACCGTTTATTTATGTGTGTATATTTCTGCATAATGTTGTTGGATTCTTTGTTCTAATATAAAAAAAACCCCACTAAAATCACATAAATAAATATTATATGATGCCGATTAAGTTCATGAGCATTCAGATATGAAAAATATTAATGTTTTACTGCTAACAGTTTACAATAAGGACTCATTAACATGAACTAACAATGAGCAAAGCATTATTTACAATTTTTATTAATCTTTGTTAATGTTAGCTTATAAAAATACACTTATTAAGGTTAGTTTAGAGAGCATTAACTAAAGTTAACACATACAAATTTAGATTTTAATACTGTTTTAGTAAATGCTGAAATTAACATTGACTACTTTACTGTAAAGTGTTACTATTTTATCATGTTTGATTATATTAAAAGAGCATTATATAAAGTAAAGAAGTTTAATGGAAGTCAATAAGAGTTCAAGCTGATTTCTTTTCCTTCGTGGAGAATATGGTGACACAAACACTTTCATTAGTTTTATTATTTTATTATTATTATTACTTATCTGAACAGAAGTGCACATGATGACGAGTCATCAGAGCCTTGAGAGTCGAACATGAATTTATCACATTTAGTCCTGATAAATTCATGAAATCACCAGAGAATTCTGCGTGAGATGCGCGACGCATGCATGAATGTGTTTCTGCTCAT